TCTAGATTTCGCAAGATGAGCCTCAGCCTAACTTGCTTTTGTACTGATTATTGCTATTTTTTATTATTGCATCAAAGTAGCAGCAAAGAAAAGTATATTTTGGTATTTTCCAATCTTCTTTTTTTTATACTGACCATTTTTATTTTTACTGAAGTGCAATAAAAAGAAGACTTATTTTCTGCTTGATGCTTTCATAAAATTCCACGTTAGAAAAAAAATATTATGAGCCAAATCTAGCTTAATGATGCTCCGCCGCCCCTGAGTGCATATGCAACATATTGATCGGTATTGTCATATTCTCGATAACAAATAAAATGACTATTGTTACTCAATCGGAAGATTTATCGAATGAAATATTTCTGGAAATATTCGAGTACTTATACGCAGACGCTATTTTTTTAAACATTTGGCTCACTGAATTCACGTATTTCATTACTTCTAAATTCAATTCCTCTTCACGTCAACATTCATTCGACTTATTGTCGTCATGAAATTGAATTTTTGTATATTCACTTGAAATTTCAGTCTTACACAAGTTGTTTCACTAAAAATTTACGATGAAATTCTTCATATTTGCATATTTCATTTAATTAACTCAACATACAAATTGAAAATTGTTTTTGAGAAATTGTCAAAATTAACTAAGGTTGTTTTATTTCGTATAATTGAATCTTGTAACCGCTCCAGAAGACAACCTTAATAGGTCTGATGCAGATAAATTTAGTCAATGGATTTTGGTAGATACACCTGAAACACTTCGGTCAACTGCTCTTTATTTTCATTATAATCATCCACAAATTAAGACAGTTGCAACAAATCTTACGCATCTAGAAACAGTCTTTTATGGGACATAAAATGATGTATCGATCTATTCGCTTATTCCTTTGCTTAGTATTCATATAGTGTATTACGATTTCTTTGTGTAGCAATCAAACGTACAGAACAACCAATGAGTATTTCTATAAAGTAAGTCGTTATATTAGTTTATGAGTGATTGGAATCTAATAGTTTATGTGAGAATAAAAAAATGTATTTCATTTTCTTGTTTCAAGTGTGCCTAGTCTTCCGTCTATTGACGACAATGATCTACCTAAATCATTATTATTAAAAAAATTTGATTTACAAATGTTAATGATTCGATGTGATATTCAGTTTCGCTCTATGCCTAATCTTCATAGATTTGTTTTTACAATTATTGTTGATAAGAATATTTCACCATTTACGATGGATTTGATTAATGGACAAAATTGGCGTGAGATGTTAACATGTCATGTACCTTATTTGAATAAATTTGATTTTCATATGTCTTTGTTAACAAATGACCAACCGATTGATTTAGACAATATTCTCAACTCATTCAGACCATTTATCAATCTATATGAAAAATGGGATATGCGCATTAGTCGATGGAAATTTATGCCGTATGTTCCATATTTACCTTTGTTTCCATGTAGGTCAAATAAATAAAATTAAATGCATTACGTATCAAATACAACGAATTAAAAAATTAATATCTATTTCTTAGACTAAGATCTATTCAGCAATAAATTGATTAGAATATTCTTTCTAAAAAAAACATGGTTGAAGAATAAACAACATGTTCTTGAATTTGAAAAAAAGTAGTTCATTCTATTACAAAACTTTTCAGTACTGATATATTTCTTGAATAATAAATGTTATGTATCAGATTGAAAATGTTTATTCTATTGTTTCGTTTTATGCACTATAAAATGAACCAAATGAGTTATCCATCTTGAGTTTTGTATTACTGAAATTTGTAAATTTCACTATATTATCTTGATAAAAACTTCTTTTTTCGTACAAATTCTGTGAATTCGAGCGGATCCTTTTTGAAAAAGTTAGTAATATTCTTCGAATTCCAAGGTTTGGTTATTATCTTTGGTGTTGATGTTAGTAGAATATCGTATTTTTATTTGTTTACATTGTACAATACATCTCTAAAAGCAATAGACAATCGTTAAAATAGGAAAAAAGAAGAAACGTTCTAATTATTATTATTTATGTCATTTTTATCGTTCATATAATCATTTCAGTTGAACATATCCATTTGTGGACACTCAATTATAGTCATGTGATAGCACGACGTGAATATGATATGCTGATAATTGTAATTAGTGATGCATTCGATATAAGATCAACAAACAGATTTTATCTGAATAATTATCATCAGCATTTTCCTGGCAAAAAAATGCATTTTTTATGACGAAAAACAATAACAACAACAGCAGCTACTACTACTATTCCATGCGAAAATGTCAATTATATCCTATGCCACTTAACATATCCGAACCCAGCAATTATATCATACTTAGAAAATAGTATGGTACGGCTAGACTGAAGTAAGTTTACTTGATTCTTAATAGGTCAATAAACTACTTCTCTTGTTTAGCTTTCTCATTGGTTAAGAAGGACGACGATGATTCAAAAAAATATCTTGATAATCTTTCACGTCTTGTTAATTTGTCTAATATTAGTAATTTGCAATTTTCACGAAACAACGATATAACAAGATTACATGTTATTGAACATGTTTTATTGTAAGTTTGAACATTTTTTAGAACGAAACTATTATTGAAAAGTGATCTTATGAGTAGTGTCTAGAGTGATTGACCGTTTAGCTCACCATCATGCAGAATGTTACTCATCGATATTAGAATTTTTTTTGAAAGTTTTTTCGAATTAATAAGAACTATATTAAATGATTCTCATTGCTTGAAAATTATTCATGAGCTTTTATCGAATGTATCATTTCATAAATATCATTTTTACTAAAAATTTTAGTCAGATTTTATTTTTGACAATCAAATAGCGAACATCTTTTTACGTAGAAGATTTTTAATCAATAATCTATCAGATTGACATTAATTGATTAAAATAAATTGGCTAAAATAATGTAAGTTGAGTCTTTTGAGTTTAAAATTGTGCATGGTATGATCTAAACATCCTCTTTCTTTCAGTAACTATATATAAGATCAGAGTTTTCGAAGAAAAAAGTTTAGATAATTGCTTTATCTTCAAAAACATGCTAATCTTTTCATTTGGAAGTTCATTAGTACGATTCGTGTTGATCTACTACTGTAGAAAGAAAACTTTAGCTGATAGGTTTTCGATTAAAACATGCAATATGTTTAATATTCGATAGAAAATACTTTTATTTTCTCTTTTTTAGAGCATGTCCAAATGTCACAGAACTTATTATAGTCAGTTCATTGTTCTTCTCGCCCAACGTATTAAACAATCCTACACTGATTCTTATTTTTAATTGACTGAAGACGCTTCATATATTAATAGATAATATGCATTTTCCTTCGAAATATGCATCAACAATTGTTCAGTGTTATCGATCTTTGACTTTTATAGAGATCGACCTCTATTCAACAGATATTGCAGTACCTATTGCCGATATTTTTCTGCGTGATCTTGAGAAATTACGTTTTATCATAATACACTGCAGGCATAATTCTCTATTAGATAATCCATTTTCTCGAAACTATATCATGGAGAAACGACACCAATCATTTAGTGTAAACAAAAATGATGACGACAGAGTCGTTGCAAAATTCGAAGATCAAACGCTCAGTATTCGTCTTCCATAATTATTTACCTGTGTATCTTATTCCCAGATTCCTTTCGGATAAGTCGACCTGGGTTGGTCATTAGATCAAGATGAATCCTGTCTTTATTATATATTTTCAAGTTCATTTTCTCAAAACAATACTTCGATCTAAATATATAGATGTTTCTGATGGATTTATGCTGTCATTGAAATCACATATTGTATAAAAGTAACGAAATGAGTGGATTCTATCAGAAATTGGATAAGAAAGATTAGCGAAGGTTTTTNGTGTAGCTCCCAAGGAGTTATGAATACGCTGAAAATATTTTGGGCGGATAGCTTATTGTTACGAAAATAGACCATTTCTAAGGTATGGTTTTAGTGAGAGCCTGGACCCCCCTCAGGAACATTTAAAAAAAATTGATTTTCGAATTTCAGCTTGAAACTTTACATAGGAAGACGCCCTAAGGAGAACAATTTTTTATGAACGTTTCAGTCCTTTCTACGTTTCCTATCACTAGACACAGGTATTGTGAAATTTTTATTTTACATCTTTCAAATAAAGTGGCAGATTTTATGAAAAAACCAAATTCAATGCCCAAAAACATTCCTAAAACACTACTCTCGTTGAGGTCTATTGCTATATAAAATTTCAAATCAAAATTCGAAAACCAATTTTTCTAATGTTCCAGAGGGAGAGTACGGCAATTATAATAGAATGCCATAAAAATGGCCTATTTTCGTAACAATAAGCTATCCGCCCAAAATATTTTCAGCGTATTCATAACTCCTTGGGAGCTACGTAATGCATGTAGTTTCAATGCAAAACCGATTGAACACTTGGTGGCCTTCCCTCATTAGTCTCGATTTTCGATGGTTAAGAAAGATGAGCTTGGAATTCTGAACATTTCCGTATATTTACTTTCTTTCTTATTGAGTTCAAAATAATTCTTTTTG